TACTGCATGATCTTCACTGGCTACCTGTGGCATCACGTATTCACTTTAAGATATTACTTCTAACGTTTAAGGCATTAAATGGTCTTGCGCCTCCATATCTGTCTGACCTACTGTACTCTTATTCTTCTGCCCGGTCTCTCAGATCATTTGAGCTTGGTCTTTTGTCCATTCCTCGTTTTCGGCTGTCCACTGTAGGTGGTAGGTCATTTAGTGTTAATGCGCTGAAATTATGGAATTCGCTACCCCTTACACTTCGTAATATACCATCTTTGTCTACATTCAACACTCAGCTAAAAACTCTTTTTAATATGTATTTTGGATAATATGGCTATATGTGGCCTTATGTGTTTGTATTGTGTATATGGGTGTGCAAATGTTTTGTTTAGCACTACGTAAAGTGACCTTGAGCTATGGTAAGGCACTATATAAATAAAACTTCGTCGCACACAAAAAGTATTCTCGTAGCTTCATAACATTATGGTCGAACCACTGACGTCACATGGACCGTTTTAACGATGTCCTTACTAGCTTTCTGGACCTTGAACATAGTAGTTCCCTTGCTGTCTATGAAGGGTCAGAAAGCTCTCGGATTTCACCAAAAATATCTTAATTTGTGAATTCAAAACGACATGAGGGTGGGTAATTAATGACAGAATCAATGACCGAATTTTCATTTTTGGGTGATCCATCCCTTTAATGGAAAGAGGGTGCTGCAAAACATGCATAGAGTTGGGTCTTATGCCTTTCTTGATTAAAGTTGGAGTCAATCTTGTAAACACCACTTGATCAAATCTTGTTTTAAGGGAGATTAAAAGTGTCTTTGAGATTGCAGGATGGATTATGTCATTTATCGTTTGTACATGTATCCCACTCTTCATGCCACTTAATTAATGTAATGATTGATTGTAGTTTTAAGGTCTGATGGAGGAATTTGACACTCTTCAGAGGGTTGTTACACGTTGTCTAAATACACACCTCTAAATATCGGTCAAATAAATCTCTAAATCCGTGTTACCTCTCTCAGCAAAGCGTCACGCCGCATCTCCTCAGCACGGACCTCTCCCGTGTCCAGTTTACGGACCTCCTGACTCAGTACAGGCTTGAGGTCCATGGCAGAGTACAGTCGTCCAGACAGCTTCAGGAACACAGAGACTAACGCTCGCGGCAGCAGACCCGCCTCTCCACCCGCACCTGCTCAATCAAAGCCACTCTTATTACTCTAGAAGACAACAACCCATCCAGCTGTACAGAAACACATGCACGGTGCTGGAATGGCCGTCTTACCCTGTATGGTGTAGGTTTTGCCCGAGTTGGTCACGCCGTAAGTGTAGAGGAGCCGGTTTTCTCCTCGCAGAACGTCTCGCACCATCTCCCGTATGGTGTGATCGTAGACCTCCTGCTGAGAGCTCTGCGCTCCAAAAATCTGCACGAATGAGAAATGTCATGTGATGCCACATCCAGGGTGACGCTTGCCTCTTTGAGGATTTACTTGATGGTGGATGCCGTACCTTTGTGAAGGTGAACTTGTGCAGGCTTTGAGCGACGCCTCTCTCGGCACTCTTCATGTTGTGGGAGTCTTTGGGCGCTCGGAGAAGCAGATTGTCCTCAGACTGCACATTTACACAACCCTGAAGAACACAAGCAGCACAATAAAGACGTCATTGTTAGCCAAACAAGCCCTTCTTTACTTAAAGTGTTTCACAAGAGTGTGCTGACTTCCTTCACCTGCTCCTCTCCCCGCTCTTGCTCTGCTTCAGTAAGAGGACGGATCCGCAGGAAAACCTTCAGCTTCTCTGAGCCATCATCAGCGCTGCCTCTTCTACTGACATCAGTCGTGATCTGCAGTCAAACAGATGAAGGATCCATCAACATCACAGCCTGAGCTACTAACCATTAAACAAGCAGGAAAAACACATTTCTTACAGCTGTCCTTAATGAATAGAATAATTGTGAGGGAGCTGCTTTTGGCAATGTGATAATCTGAGACACAAGAGCCCACTGAACAAACAGTGAGCGTCAGCCTGGGGCTAGTTCAGCTAAACTTAATTTACTGTAGCATAGGGCCCTATGATTGTATGAATAAATCAAAAGTAGTGCAGTACAATACATCAAATTGCATACTGGACTGGTGTCTATGAATGTTAAACTGCAAGAGACTGCTATTTTAATATAAAGTCTGTATTTCACCATTTAATTTGATAACTCATCAAATCATATACACAGAAACTCAAAGGTCTTCACAACAACCCACCAAAATAAATGTTTACCTTGAAGAAACCAAAATAGTAGTAATAACACAACTAAAAGATTATTTTTCATCCACGTTTTCATTTTAACAGTTAACCTCTGTTGCACTTAAAAATAAAAGAAATTAAATTTAAAAAAAATGTAATTATTATTTTTTTTATTAAAAATAAAAAAAAAATGCATTTTATGCATTAATTTAATTACTATCATTTTTGATGAACAATATTAAATCATAAGATGGACAACAAATATAAAACATTTTATAGGGCCCATTGTTTATTTTAATCATGCTTTTGATTATTAAAACAATTGAGCCATTAAAACAGAATAAAGAAATAAAACTGATTTCAAGGACTATTTTCTATTTTTACATTACTAGAAGTAGTGTAGTAACCATGTTTTGCTTGTTACCTGCCTGTAACTTTCTAGTGATCCTGAAGACCTTGACGAGCTGGTTCAGGTGTGTTTGAATAGGATTGGAGTTGCACCCTGAACTACAGTTTTATTTGCACCATGGTTAATTTCCGTAAGGGACTTATATTTTTAGTTAAATGTTCAAAAATTGAAAAAAATCTGGGATTGGTCAAAAAAAAAAAAAAAGATTTAAATTTTTGCCCTAGTTGTAGTTAGAGAATCTACCAGCAGAGGCTAAATCCAGCTAGTGCACGACCAGCATTTGTGGTTAAAAACTATATACATTTTTATTTTTTAAAGAAAATGACCGGTGGTTTTTCTAGAGAAGACTCTTATTCCTCGGTTGGGATTATGTAGAGCCCTTTAAATCTGCACTGAAACTGTAATCTGGACCTTCAGCCCATTGGTCCCCATAGAAGTCCATTATATGGAGAAAAACCCTGGAACGTTTTCCTCAAATACCTTCATTTCTTCGCGACTGAAGACAGAAAGACATGAACATATTGGATGACACAGGGGTGAGTAAATTACCAGGAGATGTCATACCTCTTGAGTGGGTGTACGGGGGTCTGCAGCAGGGCTGATGACGGAGATCTCCGGCAGAACAGACACAAAGCGCTGAGATCTCACCACAGCTCCAATATCAGCAGCTGTGGACTCAAAAACAGCCCCGCACTCGTCCTCATCGGACAGGAGCCCGCACGGAGACGCCAGAGCCATGCCCACACACTAGACACGAGAACACGCACAAAACAACTAGCGTTAACGTTACAGTCAGGACGGTAGTGCGTGGACAGCTAACTAGCTAACCACCAGTCACTCGGTTAGCCAGCTAGCTGCAGTTCAGCTCAAAGACTGGCTGGAAAACAATGATACAATATGATATAGCTAACACTAAAATACGAGAACAAACGAGCAATATTTCGACAGAATAGCGAGATTTATTTGAATATGCTAACGCTGTGTTTGCTTAGCAGCTAGCATCGCATATTCGCAAAGACTCGGCTCATACATTTTCGTAACGTTACCTTGATTTATGACGTCCTCCGGATCCAAACGTAATTTTACAGTTATATAAGTGACTCCTACAGCTAAGCTAGAATCAGAACATCTAACCTGGACACAGTTAGTACTGTAACTAACCTAAACCTAAACTCACCCGTCCACCTGAACAGCTCACTAACGGTTACTGAGACGACAACATATTTGAACGCCGCGGTCGGTGCGCTCCACCAATCACCGCGCACCGGAGCAACTCCAGCTGGCCAATCAGACACGCCGGAGGAAATACTTTGCTTTTGATTGGTCAGCATTTCCAAACGGCGCTTCCCCTCCCTTAGGAGGAGGTGTGGCAGTCTGTTCATTTATTTTGAACCTTTGATTTCGCTTGGTACTTTTAATTTACAAATCTAAGCCAAGTTTTAAAGTTTTTAGCTTGAACATTGAGTCTCTTAAACGTATTTCAAATTAAAATGTTTAATTGTGTGTG